CTAATTAAATATTCATCGCTCAAAAATTTAATTATATCTAATGCACGTATTCTCAGCTTAATGATATCCTGATATTAAACAATTTATAATAGAATAATACGACAAATACGGGGATAAATATGGAAGTATAGTTAAAAGTAAAAATTTAAAAAAAAAGAATCTAATATCGTTACGTCTTTTACATGGCAAATCAACGCGTAGGAGCAATGCAGCACCTCGATCTATCCACGTTATTCCTATATACTTGTGTATCGAGGGAACCTGGGGACGCAGTAATATAATGGTTTCGCGAGCAGCATGGAGAATCGCCGGTTTCGTGACTGCAGCTTTTGGTTCGTGACTCATTCGTGACTGGGATTGGGATCTGACCTCGCCGTTGCACGAGTTAACCATTGCATTAAAGTTCGAACGGTAGCGGTAAAAAGTGCGGGAAGAAAGTGAACAAAGACCGCGTCCAACCGCGTTTTCTGAACTATAATCGACGAATTATCGCGAGAAATTATCAATGCAATCGAGAAAATTATTTTCTTTGTTTTCTTCTCACTTTTCTTTTTTTTTTTTTTTTTTTTTTGATGAACAGTGTCAATCGAACATTTTCATTGAAGCACGTAAAAATTAAGAAATATCAATCGAAGAAATCTGGCCATCGGTAATTATGAAGAAAATTTCCATATTTTATTTTATTCTTAAACGTACAATAGATATTCTTACTTTCTTGTAATATATATATATATATGCCTGGATATTACGCTTTCAGACTGGACAGCAGCTCACTTTCAATATTTGATATTACTTATTTTTCCGATTATAAGAATTTCTCAGAGATCAAACGATTTATCTCAATGGTCTCGAATTTATCTCAATATATCATATTAATACCGCAAAGAAAAATTTATTCATCATGGAGTCACTTTTCAACACCAATTTACATACTTTAATCCTTACACGAACGTAATTTGAACAAAATTGAATTTTCGAACCTTTCCATTCCGATTTCCATCTTGTTTCCATCTTTTTTTTTTTTTTACATTTTTCCTTGTACACTTGCACTCTGCAGCCGATTTTTTCTTCTTTTCCTCTATCGCGTATTTCCTTCCTTCGTACCCGAGGACGTTTCGTTAGCTCGTAAAGACATGAACGGAAAATTTGTTTAGCTTGTGATTTAAAGCGTCGCTTAACCCCCTTATTCCTTTCCATAGGGGTTGGAGATTTGTTGTTTCGTAGCCACTTCGCTAACTGCGCGACAACGCCGGAGTCACATAAGCAATAAGCGAGAACATGGATATCGTGCAGTCGATTTGGCCTGTGTAGTACGTTTAAGAAAGACTTTTATGTTCCCTGGGACAATATCGGGAAATTTATTCACACCGGAATTGCATTGTGCGTCGATCGATACACACGTGCACGCGTGTATTACCTCATATTCGATGTCCTTATTTTTTTTTTTTTTTTTACCTCGAACTTTATTATATATATATATATGTCAGATTTACATATCCCACGGTATGTAATGACAAGGACTTTTTGAAAATTGTATTTCTATTTTAATTTTTTAAGACTGAAAAGTCAAGGATTGTACGATTTGTAGGTAAAATTATAAGTTTCTTTTAACGATTACTAAAGATTGAGGCAATTACATTCATTATTGTTACGAATTATTTAACATATAAATATCAATGCGTGTTATAAATAAGAAAATATAGTATTTATATACTTATTATTTCACATTACGAAACAACACGAGACATCTTGCGGTGCGCAATACTAACTAACCAATGTCTCAAGATCCCGTGGATTAACCTAAACGAGCAACGTAATATCGAGCAATGGCATACAAGCTTTAAAAGACGTTTCAGACGCAATATCAGTTTTATACAGGGTAAGTATGCTAGTCTTTTTATGCCCATCAGATCTCGGGTCAGTCGTGAAAGAGAACGATGAAGCTAATCCCTTCGACTCTCGTCGAACAATCAAGTATGTGCAAACTTCCGGCTAATCCTTGCGGCTGCACTTGCCTTAAACGCATCCACACGCGAGCATACAGTGGAGCCCTCTGTGCAATCCTGCACGTGTCACGGTGTAATTAAATATTTGTAAACAGAGGAAAGGGATTCTCCGACAAGAGTTGGCCCAAGTTGTCGGTTAATTAGAGAGACAATGAACTTAATCGCATTGCCCAACTTCGTCACAAAGGTGTCCGACCAGGGTGCGAAACGAAAGAGAAAGAGAGAGAGAGAGAGAGAGAGAGAGAGAGAGAGAGAGAGAGAGAAAGAGAGGAAGAAGTTCTTCGCTTTGGCGTCTCGAAGTTACGACATCCAATCTTAAACTCTCGAAGCTCCAGCTGCGGAAACTATCGCGTACTGCCGCAGAATTTCTTACGCGGTCTAAGGACACGAGACTTTGGCGAAAGAAACTTGAAACGCGACGATCGTAAGAGCTGTTTCGAAATGTTTGTTGTATGTATCGGCTAGTTTTGGGGAAGTAAAACTCAAATTTTAACCTTTTTAAAAGTTTGACAGAAGAGGAATCGAGAGAGGGATCGAGAGAAGATTTTAATAATGGGTTTGAAAAAATTGGCGGAATTTTTTTTATGAATAAAAAGTGATGGGATCGCAGATTTTTATACATTTATGAGAAATTTAAATGCGCAAAAAATCCGTACGATATCCGCATATAATATTCAAAAATATATATAGGTGATCCCAAATGAAGGGGGCAGGTTAAATATTTTTACATTTCAAATAAATTTACTTTTTATATTTTATTTCGTATAATTACTATTTTATCCTTCCCTTATTCGTTATCTCTATTTCAAATAACAATCCTGCCCAATGCAAAAAGATAAACAACCAAAAAACAAAATCCCAACAAACTCGAGAACCCTTTCCCTATCTGCCGTTATCGAGAACACGATAAAAGAGGCGCGACCTCGCCGAAGGGGGTGGTCGGAGGGAGCGATACGAGCGGATTCAATGTGTTCGTTAATCCGTTCCGCTTAATGCAACGACGGGGGAATGCAGGATCCCGGTATATACATCGAAACCATGAGGGTTGAAGCCTCGCTTCCCCGTCGTCGACACTGACCGCTGGGGGTAATTACCGTGCCCGATGAAAAGCTCTCACGCTCAAACCCTTTCTCGACTAAGCCGGGATGCGATCAGTCAGGCGTCGATCCCGACCCTTAAGGTGACCCCTGGCCATCGAGCCGAGTGTGTCCAGTGCCAATAACCGGTCATTTTTCTGCAAACGATCTCGACACGTATGTACATACCTCTGTGCCTCGTTTCCCTTCCATTTCGATTCGGTCCAAGGGGTGCTCACTTAGTTGGTTCGAAGATATAGGGAAGGAAAGGAGGAAGAAAGTGGGCCCTTATAACAGTGGCCTGGTTCAAATCATGGAACGAGGTCAACCGTGGAACAACTGTGAAGTACGGATATCGATTTTTTCCTTGTTTCGCTGTATGTTCGAGATGTAGGCATGGACAATTGGTCGGGCGAATTGGATAATTATCTTGCGTGATTGAGTGCGAATTTTTTGGTTAATTTTTTAAAAAAATCTTTTAAAGAAAAAATCTAATAAAGAAAAGAATAATGATAATCACAGTATTTTATGATAATTTAAATAATTATTGTACATTTAAAATAAAGATGGAAAATATATTAAAAGATTTTTATCTATCTTAAAAATAAAAAAATATATATAAAGATGAATAAAATATAAATATTCGTAAGAAATAGAACAAAAGGAATCGATAAATTATAATAATCAAATTTAAATTTATGTGATTCCAAAAGCAATCGATAAAATTACAGAATAGATAAGTACGAGTACAGTTGGTAAAATACCAACTGTAAGTAATTTCGTTTCGAATTCGTTTAAAATTTTTATATTTAAAAAAAGTTAAAAAAAAAAAAGCTTTTTACTGAAATAAATATTTCCAAAAGAATTTTTCTAGAAAAAAATTAAAGTTAGAGAATACTAAACATTTTTACAGTTATCTATCAAGAGTATTAAAATATATATATTACTAACAAAAAGTAACTTATCAAATTTATATTATATCATCAAACATTTTTTACACTATTTAACTACGATGACTTGATAAAATTATTGATTTGTTTCAACTTTTAACAAATTATATTTTTACAAATTATTTTATTTAATAATTTATTATTTAATAATTTATTTTATTATTTTTCCTTATCAGTGATATATTAAGAAAATAAAGACTAAAGGATTATATCATATAAAAAAATATTTTAATTAAGGAAAATATTGTGAATTGTAATTTTTAGAATTCCAATAACATACAGAGAAAATATCGTTAAAAATAGCTGCGATATAACACGATATAAAAATATAAGAGAATGTAAATAATTAGAGCATAGAAGGTTGCAACGATGTTTAAAATTCATGTGCCTATTGACCTTAGAGTAGGTCAATCAAAGAGCGTATATACGAAGTATAGTGATTACTCGTGTCAAGAGCAATTATCAAAAGAATGTATAATACCGACATACTCAATAACTAGAGGTGCATGGCTGAGCATAATTAAATCTAATCACATTCAGAGTTTATTAATAATTTTAGGTTTTATTATAATTTCTTTCTAAGCACTCTTTAACCAACTGAGATATAATTAATATCTCCCTAACAGTTCTAATAACTTGTACATTTTATAGTGATTTAATAATGAAAGTTATCAAAAAACTAAATTCGATAAAATTCTATTGTAATTTGTGAAATAAGATTTTTATAAAATCTTTTTTAAATTTGAATTATAATCTTAACAATTCGTAATATTATTTGAATAATAACAATTGTTAAAATAGATTTAAAATTCTATTTTTTTTTCTACATTCTACATTCTACATTAATGTTTACTTTGAATAAATTATTTCTTATATGTAATTAAATCTGAAAAATTGTACAAATTTTTTTATTATCAAAATAAAATATTAAGATTTTGTTTTTTTATAAAATAAAAAAATAATAACACTATAACTTTATATAAATTTTATATGAATTATTTCTTATATTTACATAAATATTTTATATATTTTTTTTATAATTTAATCATCACTATCCATATCTTCAACTGCTGAAGAATCTTCGTCTTGTTCTTTACGATCCCAATCTTTTAATTTTGTTCCCATTACAAAATCTTCTCTTAACACACTCCAAGTTTCTTTATCTTTTTTCTTTTCAAGTTTTTTATTTTCTTGCTCTTCATTTTTTACATCATTATCTACTGAAATACTTTTACTTCCTCCCATAAGAATATCCAAAAATTTAGTCTTATCAATACTTCTTAATACTTGTTCACGTTTTCTTTCTAATGGACCAGCTTCAGATAACTTTTTATTAATTTCACCTTGTTGTTGTTTAACAGCATTGAATAATTGTACTACACCTTTTGTAGCAATTTTTTGTAATGTTCTCTCACGTTCTCTATCCATTATACTTGGTTTTACTCTAATACCTAACTTTTTTTCCTTTAACTGTGGTTTTTTAACAACATCTTCTTCTTCTTTTATTTCTTGTGATTTTACTTCTTCTTTTACTTTCTCAGTATCAAATAATGAACTTTCTTTATCTTCTTTCTCTTTTATATCACATAACCTTTTCGCTTTTGATAAAACTATTGTCTTTTTACGTTTTGGCTTTTTTGTTTCTAAAATTTTACGCATAGCATCTGCCCATCCTGAATTTCCTCCAGCATCACTTTTAATATCATCTTCAAATTCTTTTTCTATATGCATCTTTCTAGGATTTATATAAAATATTTATATAAAAATAATTTATATAAAGCTTTAATTACGTTATTCAATTTCATATATTTATTCAAGAAATATTTCTATCTAATTCCTACAACATTTATAATATATAGAATAAATTAAATAATATTCATATAATTAAGACGAACGATTTTAAATCATGATTTAAAATATAATTTACATAGGTTATGTAGAAACAAGAATTTTTTTTATGTAAATTCTGAATACAACCTTTGATGATATTTTCGATGATATTACGATAGTTATTATATTATTGATTACACACTCTTTATTCGATTGAAAAATTAAAAAATACTAAATACTGTAATATTAAAATATTTTAATTATGAAAAAAGGGAATTCAATGATTAGATATATGGACATGTAGCGACATCTTTCGCACAATTTCGAAAGAAATAAGAAATGTTCACGTGAATAAAAAAGTGCCATCTTTGGAGTATATTTTAAAGTTTATGAAACATGGAAACGAATCATTTATCATCAGAGTCTCTGTATAATTTTAATTAGTAATGCATATAGAATAAAACTACAATATTGATAATGATTGGAATTGAAATTAAATTTTTTAATGTATAATAAATAAAGTATATGGCAGAATATTCTATAATAATTCTATATTATAAGACGAGATACATAGAATGACATGATATCTTATAGACCTTCATGTCACATGTTTTAAAATATCGATTTCGAAAAAAGCAGAATCCTTATACTACAATTTACTACGACTGATACAGAAATTATATTCACTTTATTCTCGAAATTTATACATCTCTCTCTTTCTCTCTCTTTATATATATATAGATATATGGAAAGATTTACGAGATCTACTTTATCCATATTCTTTTACCCAAAAATTTATTTGACATCAATGATTTTTTTTTATGTAAGTTTGCAAAACATTTTTCATCATTATACAAAACAAATAACAAAAGAAAACTGAGCAATAAGCTAACACAATATTTATTACATCAATATTTTATACATCAATTATTATGAAAATATAAAATATTGATAATTATAAAATTAATGAATCAAGAAAAAATTAAATGCTTTCTATACAGTTATACTTATTCTAATGATTATTTTTAAAATCAATACTACTACTATTATCATTTATTATATATGCATTTATAACTATATTTTACATTAAATAATATTTCTAAAAGAGTAATTCTATAAATCATTTACTTATATTTTTTAAAAAGTTTTTATTTAGAAAAATGAATCTTTGAATTTAATTAAATTCAAAATATCTTAATTAAAAATATAATATAATTATTATATTAGCTTTACAAAGATTTCATAAAGATCATATAATTCTTTAATAATCTATTTCTATATTAACTAAATGCTCAGATAATTTCTACTTAATCCTTATTTAACATAGATTTAAAAAAATAATAATTTTCTATATAATAATTTAAAGATTAGTTTAAAAAACTTACTTACAAAAAAATCTCAATAATATTGAAGTTACATAAAAATACAAATATGCTTTATTATTCCATATTGATTTCTGAAATAAATAAAACTACAAAAAATTAATAAAATTCCATAATATGAAATTATATAATTATAGAATTTTATTAATTAATAATTGATAAAAGATTCAAATACTATATTTTTTTCAAATATATAACTAGTGTTTATTATGGTCTGGAATAATATAAAAAAATAAATTTCATAACAAATTCATCATTTATGCTAAAAAAATTCACTAAAAAAAATAAAAATTCAGCATTTTAAAAGATTTGAAAAAAATATATATTAACAATATTTTCTGCAACATATTATTTGCAAAACGTGATAAATGATATTGAAAAACAAGAGAATTTTGCAATTTTGTAAAGATTATTACAATAAAAAATCTCTTTCATTTGTTAAATTCGACCAACAAACTGTAAGTAGAATTTATATCGTAATAATAATAAATTAATATTTTTTTCTAAAATGAAAATATTTTTAAATCAACTATAATGAGTGCTTTATTATACACAGCAAATTATTACACATTTCAAGAAAAAATGGAATTTCTAATCATCACGATTATCGATAGCACAATGACGACGTACGTGTTATAATTTCGATTATGAATTCAGGAGAGAAAATGCACAAAATCTTGACAACAAATGGAAATATATCGAAGTATGTCGAACTTGACGATAATTTTCCCAAATGGAAATTAAAATCGTGAAACAAATGTATTAAAAAAATACATATATTAAAATAAAGCAACAAGTGAATTCAAATCTAGATTCAACGAACTATTAGTAACCTCACCTTCGATGGAAAAAGAAACAACTCAAAACACTAATTAATTTTTTTCATTATAATAATAAGTGAATTATTAAATAAACAAAAATGATAATAATTTATAAATTTAACAATAAAATATGAATATAATTACTTACTGTGTAATCGAATCATCGAAGCCGGTTACGAGCACGCGTCCGATCACAATAACTTTCCACAGGTGACTGACGACGCACGCACACAGCTCGAGTAATCTTTCGAGTAACTTTCTGATTGGCTAGTTATTCTACATTCGAAATTAACGTATTACATAATATATTTTAATTACTCTAAAATAAATATAAAAATTAAAATAAATATTTAAATAGATTTTTAATTTATTTATATATTATTAATTTTTAATTTTTAATTTTATTATTTTTTATTTTTATTATTATTTTATTATTTATTTAATTTATATTTATACTTCATATTATATTTATAATTTATTTATTTATTGATTTATTTATCGATTATCGATTTATCGATTATTCATCGATAAATAAATTTATTCATTTCTGCAATAATTTATTTGTATATTTTTTTGTATATATTTTTATTTTGTCTATGTTTTTATGCATCAATTTATTTATTTATTCATATATATTTTCATTTATTTTTCTATTTATTTTTTCTTTATTCATTCTGAATATTTATTTTTTGATTTATTTATTCATTCCTTTCTTTATGATTTAATTATTTATTCGTTTATTTGTGGTTATTTTTGGTGATCTAATTATCCATTTTTTTTATCTATTAAAGTACTTGTTTCTTTAAATAAATATATGTAATAGTTAAATAATTAAATATGTTTAAATAATTATATATATTATATATAATACATATATATTATATATGTATTATATGTTCTATAATTTTTATAAAAATAGGAATTAATTTAAAATATATTAAGAAAAAATTTTATTATTAATTAAAATTAGTATAATTTATTATATTTAATGAATATAATTGAAATAATAATTTGATTATAAAATATATATTTTCATATACACAATATATCTAGTGATTTATTACTAGAATAATAGAAATAATAGAAAAAAGATTATTAGAAATATTTGTGAAATATAAAAATTAAATTCAAAAATTCAAAGATTAAAAATTTAAAAAAATAATTATAATTTATAATGTATAAATAGATTGCAGAAATGAATAAATCGATCAATAATCGATAATCGATAATGAATTATAAATATAGTATGAAGTATAAATATAAATCAAATAAATAATAAATAAATAATTTAAAAATTAATAATCTATTTAAATATTTATTTTAATTTTTATATTTATTTTAGAGTAATTAAAATATAATACGATATATTAATTTCGATTGTAGAATAGCTTACAATGTCAGCCAATCAGAAAGTTATTATTCGAGCTATGCGCGCGCGTCGTCAGTCACCTGTGGAAAGTTATTGTGATCGGACGCGTGCTCGTAACCGGCTTCGATGATTCGATTACGCAGTAAGTAATTATATTCATATTTTATTGTTAAATTTATGAATTATTATTAATTATTATCATTTTTGTTTATTTAATAATTCTCTTATTATTGTATTGACAAAAATAATTAGTGTTTTGAGTGATTTTTCTTTTTCCATCGACGATGAGGTTACCGATAGTTCGTTGAGTCTAGATTTGAATTCACTTGTTTTAGTTTAAAGTATGTACTTTTTTAATACGTTTGTTTCACGATTTTAATTTCCATTTGGGCAAATTATCGCCAAATTTGACATATTTGGACATATTTGGACATATTTCGACTTCTTGCCAAATTTTCGTGCATTTTTTCTCCCGAATTCGTGATTCGATAATCGAAATTATAACATGTACATCGTTATTATGCTATCGATAATCGTGATGATTAAAAATTTCATTTTTTCTTGAGATGTGTAATAATTTGCTAATGCGTATATATTTCTTTTCAATAGCTATCATTCGTATATTCAATTAATACTTCATTATTATTATTATTTGTTATTATTGATTTTTAAATTATAATTGACAATCATTCAAAAGTTAAATTATTGTTTTTTTTTTATTCATTTTTTTCCCGGTTAATTCACAAGCTAGTGAATAATTCATACTTTGATTTTTTAAAATAGTTGATTATTCTTTTATTTTTATATGATCGATTAATACATTTTATACATTTTATTATTTACTTATTTAAAAAAATTTTATTTTCTTTTGTATAGATTATAATTTTATTACCTTATCCAACTTCAAAGACAGAAGAAGTTTCAATATGGATGTCATCTTCCTTTTTCAAAAAGAAGTTTGATTCTACTGGTTAATTTTTTTATTGTATGTATTTATTTTGTTTTTTTCCTATCATTTTTATATATTTATTGATGAATTTTTGTTCAATTATAATAAATATTCTCAAAATTTTTATTAATACTTCTTAATCTTTTAAATAATAATCTTAAAAATATATATTTTATTTTCTTATATATGAAATTTTTTAATTCATAAAAAATTAATAATTAATAATTAATTTGTAATTTTAAGAAAATGATAATATTTTCAGAAACAAATATTAGATAGAAAGAAGAAGAAAACTATGGAATGAATATTTTGTTTCTTTTCTATAAATCCTGTGTTTCTCAATTACTAATACAGTATTATTTACAATGGAATTTTATGACCTTGTGCGGTTAGTACATTCAGTGTTTGCTCCGTAATAGTTTTTTAATATTTTAATATTTTAAAGTATAATAGCTCTAATTAAATTCATTATAGTCGCGAAATTAGAGTCAGTGCTTGTTTACCAATTATAAATTAAATAAACGCGTTAATAGTTTTATATATATTTTTTTAAATATTCATTTTTAATAGAAGATAGAATAAGTGCTTTTCAAAAGAATAAGGCAATCATTATACAAAGAGGTAATTATTTTTATATATTTTCTATTAATTTGTTATTATTTATACAATTTTGTGTTTAAATTATAATATTTCATGTTTTCTTATAGTTTCTACTTCTTCATACTTGATAAATTATTGATGATAATTATTTCGCGATGACA